CATAACTGCTGATGGCTCCCAGCTCTGGCATTGGGCAGAACTTTCTTGTGAGGTACGGGCTGTGACTCATAATTCACTCCAGCTTTCCTCAGCTCCTTTGTCATCTAGAGAGACTCAGAACACTTGCCGCTTCCCTCGGGCTGCCACCGAGCCTGAGATGACACCACACCTATTCTCCCGAACCAAGGCATCGATGGCTCTAAAGCTGCATACGTGTTCTGCAGGGGGAGCAACCTGGCATGAGCCAGGTGTGGGTGGAGTGTTAGAGGAAGCCTCGGGGCAGTTCTGAAAGCTTCCCAAGCAATTATTAGTCATTTTGTAATGTGGCGGAGGATATTCCATGGACACCACCCCCAGAACCTGTAGGAGTGCCACGGATTTCATCCCAGGCTTGCCCTGGGGCCCTCCTGCTGCCCCAGAGCCCCCTTCAGCTAGACAAGGAGGATGTACTGAATTTTCCTTCACTTGAGCACTGACTTCCCTCACACCTGGCCAACATGAGTCTCCTGAAATCAGCCTTGAAGCTGAGAGGCAATTAGCTGCTTGGACTGCCTTAACAAAATACCTCAGACGGAGTGGCTTAAACCACAGACGTTTATTTTCTCACAGTTTTGGAGGCTGGAAGTTCAAGATTGAGGTGCTGGTAGGGTTGGTTTCTGGTGAGGCTTCTCTTTCTAGCTTGTAGGCAGCCACCTTCTTTCTCTGTTTTCACATGGCTTTTCCTCTGCGTGCCCACAGGGAGAGAGGGAGGGAGCTTTGGCGTCTCTTCCCTCTCTAATGAGGACACCAGTTCTATCAGATTAGGACCCTGCCCTTATGGCCTCATTTAACCTTAATTACCCTCATCTCCAAATACAGTCACATTGGGGATTAAAGCTTCAACAAAGGAATTTGCTGAATTCACAATTCAGTTCACAGCAGACAACAAAGGGAGCGCTACCTTGAGCAGTTGAGGGAGGCCCCGGTACCGCCTTTTCCTCAGGTGCATTCCTGAGATGCGTCTGTGCAGAAAGGAGAGGAGTAAGGACAGGCATGAGCACAGACTCTCTTGCAGAAATAGAAATCTTTATTGCTTGCAAAGTACTGCACGTTTTATTTGTTTTGTTTTGTTTTTTGTTTTTTCTTTGCGACAGGGTCTTGCTCTGTTGTCCAGGCTGGAGTGCAGCAGCATGATCTCAGCTTACTGCCGCCTCAACCTCCCAGACTAAAACTATCCTCCCACCTCAGCCTCCCAAAGTGCTGGGATTACAGGCATGAGCCACCATGCCTGGCCAGTACTGCACGTTTTCCAAAAGTTGTAACTTAAATTTAAAGAGTTATAATTTACATACAATAAAGTTCACCCTTTTGGCATACAGTTCTCTGACTTTTGACAAACAGTAACAGTTGAGTAGCCAACACCACAGCAGCCAGAGGGATCCTGTTGCAACCCAAGTCAGCCCAGGGTCCTCCTCTGCTCAGAGCCCTGCCGTGGCTCTCATCTCTCTCAGAGAAAAAGCCAAAGTCCTCTCCGTGACCCACAAGGCCCTCCGGGTCCCCCTTGACCTCACCGCCCGCCACTGGCTCCTTGCTCACTCTGCTCCTGCCCCGCTGGCCTGTTCCTCAAATGTGCCAGGCACATCAGGGCCATTGCCTTAGGGCCTTTGCCTTTCTTTCTTTTTTTTAGACAGAGTCTTGGCCTATCATCCAGGCTGGAGTGCAGTGGCACAATCTCAGCTCGCTGCAACCTCCAACTCCCAGGTTCAAGTGATTCACCTGCCTCAGCCTCCCAAGTAGCTGGGATTACAGGTATGCGCCACCATGCCCGGCTAATTTTTGTATTTTTAGTAGAGATGGGGTTTCACCATGTTGCCCAGGCTGGTCTCAAACTCCTGACCTCAGGTGATTTGCCCACCTTGGCCTCCCAAAGTGTTGGGATTACAGGTGTGAGCTACCACACCCGGCCCTTCGCCTTTCCCTGGATCACTCTTCCTCTAGATACGCCCTCCTGGCTCACACTGACGAGGAAGAACACACTCCTGGGTTTACACTGACTGCTATAGGGACCTTCCCAAGGTCACACAGCCTGGGGTGTGGATCCTCTTGGAATCACACAGGTGAGGGTGTAGACACTCATGATGTTACAAGATTTTGGAGTAAGAAATCTTGGGGTCATGCTGATTGTGGTGTAGCTACTCCTGGGGTCATGCAGAGTAGGGTGTGGCCACTCCTGAAGCATCACAGACTGGGATGTGTTCTCTTAGGGTCACACAGATTGGTGTGTGGGCAACACTGGAGTCACGCAGACTGGAGTTAGGGTAACCTCTTGGATCACCGAGTTTGGGGTGTGGACACTGGGGTCACACAGTTTGGAACAAGAACATGACTGAGGATACATAAACTGGGAAGTCGGCACCACTGTGATCAAGTGACTGTGATGTGGACACTCCTGGATTCCCATAGGTTTGGCTGGGGACACTCCTGTGGTTACACGACTTGTGAAGCAGACTCTGCTGGGGTCACACAGACCCAGCTGTGGATATGCTTCATCTGTGTGATGGGAGGGGTGAATGCCCCCTGAATCATAAAGACTGGGGAATGAACACTCCTGGGCCCCCAAGACTTGGTGTAGATCCTTCTAGACTCACACTGACTGAGGGGAGGGACACTCCTGGAGTCACAGACTGTGTTGTGGACACTGTTGGTGTCACACCCACTGGAGTACAGACACCTCTCAGGACGTGCAGATAAGTGTGGATACTCCTGTGGTCACACAATTTGGTGTGAACATCCCTCTGGTCACACTGACTGGGAAATTGACTCCTGTGTGGTCACAGATACTGGGGTGTGAAGACTCCTATGGTCACACAGACAGGACTGTGCCCTCCCCTGGGTCACCCAGACTGGAATGTGGACCCACCAGTAGTCACTGGCACTGGAGTTTTACACTTCCGTGGTCACGATGACAGGAGAGTCGATAGTCTTTTGGTCATACAGATGGGGGAGTGCACCTGCCTGAGGCCGTCAAGATGAGTATAGACACACTAATAGCCAGAGACTATGGGGTTTGGACAACACCAGGGTCACATACGCTGGGAACTGGACATTACTTGTGTCATAAAAACTTGGGTGGAGATACTCCTGAGGTGGCTGGACTGGGGCAAAACCACTCCCAAAGCACCATAGACTGAGCTGTGGACACCCACGAGGTCACCCGGACTAGAGTATGGCCTCTTCTGTGGTCACAGTTTGAGGTACACATTTATGGTGCCACTAAGATGGCTATGGAAAGTCCAAGCCATTGCCACTGCTGGACTCACAGAACCTGGCATGAGGTCTCACAGACTCTCGTGTGAACACTCCTGAGGTCTCACAGGCTCTCGTGTGAACGCTGCTGAATTTGCACTGTAATGGGTATGGCTACCCCTGTGGTCACATGGCCTTTTGTGTGGACACTTCCGCCATACATTGTTGGGCCGTGCATATTCATAGATTGGGGTGTGGACATTCCTGTGGTCACACTGACTTTGGTGAGAAGACTCCTGGGTTAAATCACCATGGTGTGGACATTCCTAGATGACAAAAACTGGGGTCTGGACATTCCTGAAGTCACACGGACTGGGGTGTGGTTATTCTCGTGGTCAGAGACTAGAGTGTAGGCATGCCTATGAACACACGCTCCAGAGTTTAAACACCATTTCTGACTGCAGATTGGACAATGTTTGTCCCAGACTTGAGTGTGTATACTCCTGGGCTCACACACAGTAACTGGGGTGAGTCACAGTCAGGTGTGGAAACAGCTGGGGTCGCAGACTGGTATGTGGATACTCCTGAGGTCACTGGACTGCGGCGTGGATAGTCCTTGGATCACAGAGTACGTGAGTTTCTAAGGACACAGGATTAAGCTGTAGAAAACAGTTCTGTTTGTCTAGTTGGGGAGTTTCTGTCAGCTCCTGTTCATTGTTATAGAAATTGAGGACTGCAGTCCAGGTAGACTTTCTGACGTTGCTTTTTTTTTTTTGAGACAGAATCTCACTCTGTTGTCCAGGCTGGAGTGCAGTGGCATGACCTTGGCTCACTGTAACCTTCATTTCCCGGGTTCAGGTGATTCTCCTGCCTCAGTCTCCCGAGTAGCTGGGATTACAGGCATGCACCACTACACCCAGCTAATTTTTGTATTTTTGGTAGAGACGGGGTTTCACTATGTTGGCCAGACTGGTCTCGAACTCCTGACCTCAAGTGATCTACCCGCCTCAGCCTCCCAAAGTGCTGGGATTACAGGCATGAGCCACCGTGCCCGGCCCTGACGTTTCTTTAAGACAGGTTCTTAACCTAAAAAATTTGTTCTGGAGGCCAGGCGCAGTGGTTCACGCATGTAATCCCAGCACTTTGGGAGGCCGAGGCGGGCAGATCACCTGAGGTCAGGAGTTCAAGACCAGCCTGGATAACATGGTGAAACCCCGTCTCTACTAAAAATACAAAAATTATCCGGGCATGGTGGTGGGCGCCTGTAATCCCAGTTACTTGGGAGGCTGAGGCAGGAGAATCGCTTGAACCTGGGAGGCAGAGGTTGCAGTGAGCCGAGGTCACACCACTGCACTCCAGCCTTGGCGACAAGAGCAAGTCTCAAAAAAAAAAAAAAAACCGGCCGAGGTGGGCGGATCACTTGAGGCAAGGAGTTCAAGACCAGCCCGGCCAACATGGCAAAACCCCATCTCTACTAAAAATATAAAAAAATTAGCTGGGTGTGGTGGTGCATGCCTGTAATCCCAGCTACTCAGGAGGCTGAAGCAGGAGAATCGCTTGAACCCAGGAGGTGGAGGTTGCGGTGAGCCAAGATCACGCCATTGCACTCCAGCCTAGGTGACAGAGCAAAATTCTGTCTCAAAATAAATAAATAAATTTGTTCTGCGGAACCCTTTGGCATCTGGTTAAATCTGTGAACCCCTTCACAGAATATTTTTAAAAGTATATACACACACATACACACACACACAGATGACAATGGAAGCCAATTACACTGAATTACAATTATTACTATATATTAAATTGAAACAAAATTGAGCTGTAGTCATATATGGGCTTTTTAATTAATACATCAACTTATAGGATCTGCTATCATTCCAAGAGGTGACAAATATGAACAATACTTCAAGATGCCCTTTTTATGTTACATTACAGTTGTTGTAACTGGTTTGTATTGGTGGGAAAATCCCAGGTACTGCTTTTACTATTGTGATTTGTTGCCAGCATTTATAACTTGGGAGTAAGGCTAAAGTTGTTTTATTGCTGAAAATAAAGATGTAACATTTTCTTCCATCAAGTTTATGGTTACCCCTGGCTTCTATCCAGGTTAAGAATCCCTGCCTTTAGGGAAATTTCTGGATATAATCAGGACACTCCTGAAGAGGTTTAAAGAAGAGGTAAGACCTCACTCAAGAATTCCCACTGCAGTGTGGACAGACTTCTATGCTTTCTTTCCTTGTCTTCAGGGTTGTTGCAGATCCCTCCTCAGGGCTTCTGTGTCCAGGCCTCGTTGATGAGATGATATTTTGAAAACAAGTTCATCAACAAGTTCTGGTTTTCCTGACACTGAGCAGTTTCTGAGTTGTATCAGCTTGCCAGCTAACCGAAAGTCAAAGAAAGGTTTTTGTTTGTTTTGTTTTTTTAGAGATAGGGTCTTGCTCTGTCACCCAGGCCGGAGTGCAGTGGGGCTCCATCATAGCTTACAACAACCTTAACCTCCCAAGCTCAAGTGAGCCTCCCGTCTCAGCCTCCCAAGTAGCTGGGAATACAGGCGGGGCATGTGCTACCACACCCAGCTAACTCTGCTGCTAACATTTTTGTGACATTTCCTCCTACTTTTATGGTGAACCATTACATACAGAAAATGCATATATATTCAGTTTAATGAATAACTACAAGGTGCTATTTGGTGTAATTGCAGGATGTTCACTGTCATTGTTATACAGTTCTCTATAGTGAATGTACCACGATTTAATGGGCATACTACAGATAGTGCTGCTAACAACACTCTAGGACTCATTTCCTTTTTATTTTATTCAGACGGAGTCTCACTCTGTCGCCCAGGCTGGAGTGCAGTGGCACGTTCTCAGCTCACTGCAACCTCCACCTCCCAGGTTCAAGTGATTCCTGCCTCAGCCTCCTGAGTAGCTGAGATTACAGGCGCCCGCCACCAGGCCTGGCTAATTTTTGTATTTTTAGTAGAGATACGGTTTTGCCATGTTGGTCAGGCTGGTCTTGAACTCCTGACCTCAGGCGATCCACCCACCTTGGCCTCCCAAAGTGCTGGGATTACAGGTGTTGAGCCACCACGCCCGGCCTCCAGGACTCACTTTTTAGGAGTGGAATTGGCACACATGCAGCTTTAGTAGGTAATGCCTAAGTTTTCCACAGTGGCTGCACCATTTTACCTTCCCAGTAGCGTGTATGAGGCTTTCAATTGCTGCATATCCTTCCAAATACTTAGTGTTGTTGATATTTTGAGTTTTCATTTGCATTTTCCTGATGAGCAGCTTTTCATGTGCTTACTGGTCACTCTCATTTTTTTCCTTATTGATTTACAGGATCCTTTAAATATTAGAAATTGTAAATCTCTTTCACACAATGATTTGCTGTTTCAGTTTCCCTTAAGGTGGCTTCTTGTGGCCGGGTGTGGTGGCTCACGCCTGTAATCCCAGCACTTTGGGAGGCCTGAGGCAGGCAGATTTTGTGAGGTCAGGAGTTTGAGACCAGCATGGCCAACATGGCGAAACCCCGTCTCTACTAAAAATACAAAAATTAGCTGGGTGAGGGGGCAGCATGCGTCTGTAATCCCAGCTACTCAGGAGGCTGAGGCAGGAGAATCTCTTGAACCTGGGAGGCGGAGGTTGGAGTGAGCTGAGATAGGGCCACTGTACTCCATCCAGCCTGGGCGACAGAGGGAGACTCCATCTCAAAACAAAACAAAAAAGGCCGGGTGCGGTGGCTCATGCCTCTAATCCCAGCACTTTGGGAGGCCAAGGCGGGTGGATCACCCGAGGTCAGGAGTTTGAGACCAGTCTGGCCAACATGACAAAACCCTGTCTCTACTAAAAATACAAAAATTAGCCATGCATGGTGGCGGGCACCTGTAATCCCAGCTACTCGGGAGGCTGAGGCAGGAGAATCGCTTGAACCCGGCAGATGGAGGTTGCAGTGAGCTAAGATTACGCCACCGCACTCCAGCCTGGGTAACAGAGCAAGGCTCCGCTTCAAAAAAAAAACGGTGACTTTTTGTGATGGCTGACTTAGTCTGAATAACCTGCTATGCCATTGTCAGAAAGGGCCATCCTCTAACATTGTGGTTTTAGCACATTTGGCTATGGATAAACTTTCCTCCCATACCACGTGCAGTTCCACCTTTGGGACTTGGCTATTTCCTTTACCCGAAATGCTCTTCCCTCAGATAAACACACAGCTTCCCTCCAGCAATGCCTTTAGGTCTTTGCTCAGATATTACCTCTGAGGAATGTCTGAGGCCTTCTATGACAACCCTTTTAAAAAGTGCAAGCTGGCTGGGCGCAGTGGCTCATGCCTGTAATCCTGGTACTTTGGGAGGCCGAGAACGGCAGATCGCTTGAGCCCAGTAGATCGAGACCAGTCTGGGCAACATGGCGAAACTCCATTTCCCCTAAAAATACAAAAATTTGCCGGGCATGGTGGTGCACGCCTGTAGTCCCAGCTACTCAGGAGGCTGAGGTGGGAGGATTTTTTGAGCCCGGGAGATTGCACCACTGAACTCCAGCCTGGGCGACAGAGTGAGACCTTGTCTCAAAACAAAAACACCAAAAGATGAAAACTGCCATGCCTAGAATTCCTGATTCTCTTCACCCTGCTTTACTTTTTTCTATTTTTCATATCCCATATTACTCTTACTTATTATATATATTGCAAGATATGTAAATTGAAAAATGCAAGCTATATAATATATGTGTGTATGTAAACTCTAGAACTTATAGACTGTTTTATTGATTGTTGCCTCTTTTCCAAACTGGAAGTACTGTGAGAGCCAAGATATTTCTGTTTTGCTCCCTGCTCTATCTCCAAACCTAGAACAATGCCTGGCACACAGTATGTGCTCAATAAATGTTTACTGAATGCTTCAAATGTAAAATGCTTAAAGCAGTTCCTGTCATACAACAATAGATGTTTAGAAAAGGGTTTGTTGATTAAAATCTTATCAGTTGACATAAAAATTTCAAAGGTGAAATTTTACTGAGGTTTTTCATAAAGGTTGCCCTTACTCAAACCTTTAGATAACAAGGCAAACTTACCGTAATGGGTTAAGGTGAACAACTCATTTCATTGTCTTCCATCTACTCAAGAAAAAGAAAAGTGACTCACATATTTGGTGAAATTTTTCCATTCATTATGCTTGGTTTCACCAATTTTTTATAGCTATTGGGAGGCAGGAAAGGGAATTTTGGCCCCAGAAACCATGAGATTTGGGTCAGAAAGAGGCACATGGGGAAGGGGTCAATGCGGGTTGAGAGTCACATTTCCAGACCTCAGGGGCCAGCAGGCTGTGGCGCTGAGGGGCGACCAGGGGCTGGGGAAGCGTGTCTACTCTGCTGATGGGGCAGTCCTGGGGGCGGATCTCCTTGGCCAGCTGCCCCTTCTTCTTCAACGTGCAGGCCTCCTGGTATGGTGGCGAGATGGGGGGCTGTGTGGGTGGAGTGTACTTGTACTTTGAGCCGTCCTCTAGCTGCAGAGACAGAGGGGTAGGGAGATGGTGAGGACCTGGGAATCTAGGACAGCCTTGCTCCCACCCACCTAGTGTTGCTTGGGCACTCACGTCCAGTGGGTAACTGCGGTCCGAATCATAGGAGCTCAGGTCCCCACAAGTCACAAAAGGTACAATGATGCGGGTGGGACCATCCAGCTGGTTGAAATCTGGGTCTTAGGAACAGGGGGAGATAACTGAGGACAAGGTCTGGATGCCTGGGGCCAGTCATGACACAGGCGGCAGTATGGTTGACAAGCCCTCCCCTCAGATCCACCAGCTACTCTCTTCTCACCCCACCAGAAATCCTTCATTTGGTTCAGATCACCTCCTTGGGGAGGCCCTCCATAATCACGCCTTCTAAAACATTGGTGCCCTGCTCTTTTTCCTGCATATATGTCCACCTGACATTGGATTATATGCTGCCTGGATGACGTCTCCCTCACTCAAATGTCATTCCAGGGGCAGGCTCTGTCTCTTCCTGCTAGAGGCTTAAGGGGCAAAAGTTTCACACCAAGGAGGCTTCCACCTGGGGGCGTGACTGAGATCTTCCTAGGAGAGAATGTCCTTAGGCAGGTGGAGCCTCCACTGGGGCAGGGCTCAGGATCCTCCTGGGATGGAATTTTCACCAGGCCCAAGAGTTACCACTAGAGGACTGCCTGGGCTGAAGCTCCTCCTGGGACAAAATACCCATAAAGGGATGGGATTTCCACCAGAAAATGGGGCTGAGGATCCCCTTGGAAAAAAAATTCCCATGAAGGGACAAAGCCTCCACTAGGGGGTGAGGCTGTGGGCCCTCATGGGACCTAGATTGCATAAGGTGCGGCAGAGTCCCCCAGGGTGACCCACGCTCCAGCTCTCACCGTAAGAATGGTCCAGCAGGGGTTTGCTCAGGTCCGGGATGAAGCCCTCGGGAGGGTCATAGCCCTGACAGACAGCGAAGGCCTCTGCTGGGGGAAGGTGGAATGAGGCGTGACTGCCGCTTCCTCCTTGTGCAGGCGGCGTCCCAGAAATCCCGGTCTGCCTGCCTGGCCCCTCCACCCCACTGACCGATGCTGGAGTTCCGGCTGCTCCTGGGCTTGGCACACAGCACGCTGGAGAAGAAGACCCGCAGCTGGCTGTAGAGGAGCGTCACATCCCGGCCTCGGAATATCTGCGGGGTGGGAAGGCAAAGACAGCGGGTGAGGTTGGCCCTCAGCGATCTCTCTCTACTCCACCAGGTTCCTTGAGACTTACCTTGGCCACAAAGCAGCCCCCTGGCTTCAGGACATGTGTAGCAATGTTCAGAGCCTGTGGGCAGGACAGACGGCTGAGGCTGAGGTGGAGACAGCCAGGAGGGGGCCAAAGTGGGTCAGGGGTGGCCAGGGTTACTCACAGCTAGGAGAAGCTGGGCCTGCATATACTCATCAACATCATGGAGGCCGGTTACTGTGGCAAGAGGAACAGCGTTAGGGGGGCCTGTTCTGCTCTGTGCATCTTCTTGTACCACACAGATCAGACACTAAAAACATTTTCCAGGCTCTCTTACTGCTAAGGTTCTGGATACAAATTACTATCTGCCAACTAGATGCATATTCTGAGCTCCTAACCCTTAGGAACTCATTTCAATTCTAAAATGACCTCATGTACAAGCATCATTATCATTTCCACCTCCAGCCCAGACTGCTCCTCTGAACTCCAGATTCACAAATCAGATTCCACATCTCCAATACTCCTGACCTCCAAACTCCTGACCTACCTCCCAAACCTGCTCCTCCCACCATCCCCACCATCTCATCTGAGCTTTCTAGTTGTTCAGCTCCAAAACCTTAGTCACCTCTGATGCTCCCCCCGCATCCTCTCCTCACACCCACATTGAAGTCATTAACACATCTACTTTCAAAAGATCTGACTTGATCTTCTTCTCTCCACCACTGCCCCCACCCGTTATCACTTGCCTGGACTACTCTACCCTGGAGCCCCTGCTTCTGCCCTTGGGCCTCACACAGCTCATAGCAGCCCAAGCCCAGCACAGTCCTCTTCTCCTCAAAACCTTCTCATGGTTTTCTTCAAGCTCTCATCTCGGTGAAAATGCCAACATCCTCACCATGGCCCACGAGGCCCTATAGGACCTGTCCCCTGTCACCTCTCTGATGTTACCTTTTACCACTCTCCCCCTCACTCTGTTCCAACCACAGTGATCTCCTTGTCATTACTCATACATAGCAAGTACCCTCCTGCCTCAGGAACTTTGCATAGGCTGGAATTTTTCCTGGATTGCTCTTCCTTCAGACATATCCATAGCTTACTCCCCCACCTCCTTTAGTCTCTACTGTTAAGTCAGTGAGGCCTTCCCCATCCACTTCATTTAAAATTCCAACAGGTACTCCTGCTTTCCTCCTGCTCAATGATTTCCCTATGGTACCTATCCCCCACCCCACCTTTTTTTTTTTTTTTTGAGACGGAGTTTTGCTCTTGTTGCCCAGGCTGGAGTGCAATGACGCGATCTCGGCTCACTGCAACCTCTGCCTCCTGGGTTCAAGCGATTCTCCTGTCTTAGTCTCCCAAGTAGCTGGGATTACAGGCACATGCCACCACACCTGGCTAATTTTTGTATTTTTAGTAGAGACGGGGTTTCATCATATTGGTCAGGCTGGTCTCGAACTCCTGACCTCAGGGGATCTGCCCGCCTCGGCCTCCAAAAGTGCTGGGATTACAGGCATGAGCCACTATGCCTGGCCTCCCCACCCCGTTTTTTTAGAGACAAGGTCTCACTCTGTTGCCCAGGCTGGAGTGCAGTGGTGCAATCAAAGTGTACTGTAACCTCGACCTCTTGGGCTCAAGTGATCCTCCCACCTCAGCCTCCTGAGTAACTGGGACTACGGGCATATGCACCACCAAGCCCAGCTAATTTTTTAGACAGGGTCTTGCTATGTTGCAAGGCTGGTCTCAAACTCCTGCCTCAAGTGTTCCTCTCACCTCATCCTCCTAAAGCACTGGGATTACGGGTAGAAGCCACCATGCCTGGCTGCATCCCCTTTTAACGGCACAAAGCTCAATCATTTATTTTCTTTCCCATTTGCTCCCACTAGAACATCAGCTCCGTGAGGTTAAAGATTAATGGAATTTTATTCATGAATGTTTTCTCAACACAATAAGTGCTCAGTAAATGTGTGTTGAATGGCTGACTGGCTGAAAACGAATGAACAGTGCAACGGAATTGGACAATTGCAGAGAGATGAGAGCAGGGAAAGGTAGACAACAGACATGAAACTCAAAGGGTGGGGTGCAAGTGGGAGGAAGAGAGAGGCAGAGAGAGAGAGCAGGCAGCAGAGGTAGGGAAAAGTTGCCAGATGTGGGAGAAAGCTGAGAACAGAAGGGAGAGGCAGGGAGTAACTGAAGAGGTGAGTAAGTCAACCAAGGTGGGAGATACAGAGAAGGACACGCACAGGGGCCTCCGCCTGGCCTCCCACTTTCTGTTACTATTTACCATCAGGAGCCCCGTCACACACCACTAGGTCCGCAGGGCAGCCCTTAAAGTGCTGGATGATCTCCTTGGCAGTGGACAGCTATGGAGAGAGGGAGGATGAGTGGCCCCACGGCCCTCCACTGCTGCCCTCAGATCCCGCCTGCCCATGGTCCTGGCCCACAGACCCTGGGTCAGCCAAATTCCCAGGCTTTGCCTCTCTAAGACTGGACTCCATCTCTGGGGACCCAGCATCATCATTTTCTGCTGTGTCTCTGCAATGATGACCCGTTGGCTGTTTCTCCATGGTTACTCTCTCATTCTCTTTCTCTCTCTCTGTTTCCATCACCTCTCTGTTGCTCTTCCATTCTGCATAGACCCCAGGTAAGGGCCTTCACCCAGGATATACCCCAATACCCTCAGCCATGCTCTTACCTGGGTGATGTCCCCCTGGATCTGTACCACACCTGGTAGTGGAGCCATAGCCTGCAGGTCCACAGCCACCACGTGGCCGGACCCTTGGCCCCTGTGGACAACATGGCCCACATCAGCCTAGTTTCACTCCTGGGCCCCTCCCACCCAGCCGGCCCTCCTGGGTCTCCCATCTGGGACCCCCACACTTACCCAATCTTCTGGCTCAGCACCTGGCTCCAGCTGCCCGGGGCTGCACACAGGTCAACTGCCCGTGTCACGCCTGGGCATACATAGTGAAAGCATCCTGGTCAGCTGCACCCACTTCTCCAACCTGGAGACCCTTGCAAAGTTCACCCCTCTCCCCTGAGGAGCACCCACATATCTCCACTGCCCAGGTGCCCAACTCCTCTCCAGTATTCTGCCTATCTTCCTGCCTGTCTCCCTGTCCCAGAGACCCTCTGAGTCAGCCCACCTACCATAGGGAGCTCTGCAGACCTAGCCTACTTGTCTACCTCCTGTGCCCACCTCACTGCCCAGTGACCTGCCCACCAGTCAGGGACCTTGGAAGAGTTGGAATTCCTTATCCAGCTGTAGCAGTTTGAAGGCGCTGCGAGCACGCCAGCCATTCTCCTTAGCCAGGCGGTAGTAGACATCCCGCTTGTCCTTCGACGTCCGTCCCATTTCACACACCAGTTGCCCAAGGACCTGCCGACAGTCAGCTGATGCCGGCCAGTATCAGTAACCAGATGAGTGGGCTACCACCTACCTCTGTAGGGCGGAGAGAACCACACAAACTAAACTGGGCTCATCTGACCCACATGATAGCTCACACAGAAGATGGGCTGACTGAAGCCCTGGAACTGACCCCACTGACCTTATAGGGTCCAAAGGACCCTATCACTGAACTCTCAGGCTCCATTGCTTATCACACAGACCCTCCTCGTCCCCATCACTTACCCCCCAGTTCCTACAAAAGACCCCATAAACCCAACATTAATCCCATAGATGGCCAACTTGTGAGCCTGTCTACCTCCCATCACTGTCACCCACACTCCACACATTAAACCCTGTAACTGTCACTATCAACCCTTCTCTGCCCACGTCATGCCCATTAAAATCTCACTGACTATATCCCCATTTGTCCCCATTGCCCCTAGATTCATATAGTCCTATCAGCCCCCATTAATCCCTTGCTTTCCACCTTTATCCTAATACTACTTCATTGTACCTCCCACTCCCTATATCTCTCTCATTTTACCCCACTCCCCATTAATCCCTTAGACAATTAGGCCCCCTTTATTACTACATCCTTATGAACTTCTAACAATGCCTGGAGAATCATGGTCTATTAGCTCCCCATTGAGCATTCAATTACTGATTTATCAGCCCCCATTAACTCAGTTTTCTCCAATAGACCATAGATCACAGCACTAGGCACCTGACCTGTAACCCTTTCATTAACAAACATGTTACTCCCTGATGTTCACACATCAGTTCCCCATTCTCCCCTCACTGTCCACCCCGCTCTCCATGGATCCATCACTGGATGATCACACTCTAACAGTTTACCATTCACCTACTATATATCAACAAAAGTTAACCCCCAACCCTAGTTTACTACACCCTCTCTTTGCTCACTCTGTCCCCTAATTCCTCGATGGTCACGCCACCACAGCCCAACTATTGACTCTGACAACAACACCATCAGCCTCTCATTATCTCTTCTTTCACCACAGCCCCTTGATCATGACCCCCATTCATCTATTATTCCCCCCACAGCCTCACCATCATCCTTGCCATTAGTATGTCCCATCACTTTCCATTAACCCGTTGAATATCATACCTCCATCAATCCCTGGGGGATCACGTTCCTATCCACCACTCGTTATATTATAGTTGCTTACTCTGCCATCCCCTCATTAATCAATCAATGAACAACACTTAGACTAAAATATTCTTATTAGCCCCCATTGATTCCCCAGTAACACCCCACCCTCGCGCTCCAACCAACCTCCCATTAAACAGCCTTCTGACCACACTCCCTGTCCCTCCTCATCAATACCTCAAAGATCATAGCTCCATCGGGGCCACCGGGTCCCAGGTGGCTCCGACCGCTGCGTCCCATGTCCCCACCTCGAACCCACCCCGTCTACGGGTCCCCTTCTGCAGACAAACCTTGGGTCTAGAACCCACCCGGTGCCAGCCGCCCGAACCATACACAGCTGCGGCGCCCAGGGCGAACCTCCTCCTTTCCCCGCAGTCAGGGCAGTTCCTCAATAGTCTCCGCCCGCATCCCTGTCCTCCGCGCCCCAGGGCCCACCTTAGTTTTCGGAGCAGGGTGGTTTGCGAGCAGCCTGTGCCTCGGCGAGAGCGCAAACGGGCGACAAGTCGTAGAGCTTCAGTTTGCGTTCGTAATCCACCAGAATGCCCGGGGGACAAGCCTATGAGCTGTCGCAGCGTGGCAAACTCGCCATCGTGGACCGCCCAGGCTCCGGCGTGCCGGGACCTGATATGAACGTACAACGTGAGTCCCGTCATCTATTGTCGACGTATCCGGGGCTCGCGAACTGCGTTTCCCGGCATGCAAGGGGCACGGCCAAAGCGGCTGAATCCACGCACTGCGTGGCTGAAGCGTCGCGACGCGCAAACTGCCGGCGATTCTTTGTTCTTTTTATTCCGAGGCCAAGATCGAATTGCTCCCCCGCCCCTCCCTTCTTGGACCATGCTTGTCATTGAGCCTGTAAACTACATTTCCCAAGATGCCACGCGCACGATGCCGCCCATTCATTTTTCGCGTGCAGGGCAGCGAAATTACCGCTGGGGGCATAAACGTGACAGGAGAAATGCGTTCTTGAAGTGAGCGAGCGCGCGGAGGCTGCTCGGCTGCAATTTCAGATCGCACTACAGCTAATGGATGGCGCTTCCTGAGTTTTACCGCCTCAGAAGTTCAGTTTCCCTGTCTGGAAAGTGGGGATAATCAATAGTACAGACTTAACAGCATTATTGGGAGAGTTAAATAGGTGTAGCTTAGCCACTCTCTGGCCTTTTGTAATTCTGTGATCTTCAAACATTTTAAATTCCAACCCAGACACAAAAAAAGACTATACATCCTGACCCAGTGGACAAACGGGAAAATAATGAGAACGTTTATCATAGTGTTTACCATGTGCTAGGTTCTAAATGCCCTCAGTGGTGTGCTGGTAAATGGTTAACCACTGGCTGGGGCGGGGGTGGTGGCGGGAGGGGCGGGGGGGAAGGGAGGCTGGTTGCTAGCATTTACCAATTTCCATGGCTTAGGTACAATCTTCTTGTTAGATTTCAAGGTACCGACCTGTGGTCACTGAACAGGGAGTTCAAAAGAGGTGCAGTAGCGCACTATCATGTATTATTTTTACCATACAGATAAAATGGGGGTAAATGACCTCAAGAGCATATAGAATAGTGGAATGTGGTAAAATTAGAAAGTTACCAGTTTTGAGTACGTTTATATAATTTCATTTTTAACCATAGCTGTTTAGCTTTAGGAGGCTGAGGTGGAAAGGTCGCTCGAGTCCAGGAGTTCAAGACCAGCCTGGGCAATATGATGAGATCCTCGTCTCTACAAAAAATAAAAATAGCCAGGGGTGGTGGTGTGCGCGAGTAGTTCCAGTTACTCGGGAGGCTGAGGTGGGAGGATTGCATGGGCCTGGGAGGTCAAGGCTGCAGTGACCCTTGATTGTGCTACTGCACTCCAGTGTGGGTGACAGAGTGAGACCCTGTCTCAACAAACAAACAAAACCAGTTGTTAAACCAGCTGTTTATTATTTTATTTTATTTTGAGACAGAGTTTTGCTCTTTTTGCCCAGGCTGGAGTGCAATGGCGCAATCTCGGCTCACCGCAACCTCCACCTCCCGGGTTCAAGCGATTCTCCTGCCTCAGCCTCCCTAGTAGCTGGGATTACAGACATGCGCCACCACCCCGGCTAATTTTGCATTTTTAGTAGAGATGGGGTTTCTTCATGTTGGTCAGGCTGGTCTTGAACTCCCGACCTCAGGTGATCCACCTGCTTCGGCCTCCCAAAGTGCTGGGATTACAGGCGTGAGCCACTGCGCCCAGCTAAACCAGCTGTTTAACAACCAGTTTGCAAAATTCTTGAAAATTGAACAGTTCCTCCCAACCTGTACAAGTTGGCTCCAGCATGTCCTTCCCTTTGTTCATTCATTTTAATCCTGACAACATGCATATGAGTATTAGCCAGGGGCGGCAGCATGCGCCTTTAGTCCCAGCTACTCCAGAGGCTGAGGTGGGAGGATCCCTGGAGCCCCGGGGGTTTGAATCTAGTCTGGGCAACATAGCAAGAACCCATGTCTCTTTAAAAAATAAAAAGGCTGGACGCAGTGGCTCATGCCTGTAATCCCAGAACTTTGGGAGGGTGAGGCGGGTGGATCACTTGAGGTCAGGAGTTGGAGACCAGCCTGGCCAACATAGTGCAACCACGCTACTAAAAATACAAAAATTAGCTGGGCGTGGTGACGTGTACCTCTAGACCCAGCTACACAGGAGGCCAAGGTGGGAGGATCGCTTGAACCCCACTCCAGGTTGGGCGACAGAGTAAGACCCTGTCTCAAAAAAAAAAAAAAAAAAAAAAAAAAAGGCTGGATGCTGTGACTCACGCCTGTACTCCTAGCACTTTAGGAGGCCAAGGTGGGAGGATTGCTTGAGGCCAGGCGTTCATGACCAGCCTGGGCAACATAGTGAGACCTCATCTCTACAAGAAATAATTTAAAAATTAGCTGGGCATGGTGGTGTTCATCCATAGTCCCAGTTAGTCGAGGGGCTGAGGCAGGAGGATCACTTGAGCACAGGAATTTGAGGTTACAGTGAGCTGATTGTGCCACTGCACTCCAGCCTGGGCAACAGAGTGAGAGACCCCGTCTCAAGAAAAAAAAAAAAAAGAACGGAATGATTGATTCCTTAGCACACGAACTTCACCAGGCAGGGATTCCTGTTCTGTCATGTTCACTGCTGCCTCCCAGTGCCTGGAACGGGGTGGCGCACAGTTGATGTTCAGTAAATGTTGTTTGAATTCATCCTTTTGTTGCTTCATTCCTTCATTTTTTCCCCAGTGGTGTGTCCTGCATTTCTGTGGAACCCTGGATGGAGGCATAGAGACTCTGAGAACCAGGGAAGAAGCCAGAGCTTTGTCAGCAGAACTCAAGGGCATTGTGAGACTGTGGGAACATGACTCCCCTGCAGAGGTGAGCGAGTGTGAGAAAGGAAGGGTTCGAGCCACCAGGCCTCCGCTCCACAAGAGAGGAGGGGGTGCCAGGCATTGGGGGCCCATGTTCACCCTGTGGGACGCTTCCCACGTCCTGTTTTCTTGCGCTCACGAAGAGGATGTTTAACTTTTAGCAAAGAAACTTGCTTCCTCCAGCAGGGCCGGGGGTTTGGGGGACAGGAGCCAGGCTCTGAACTCTCCAGGCTCTTCCCGAAGTAGGGTGTCGGCCTGCAGCTCCCACCCGGCACCCCACTGAGTGTAAAGGTGTCCTTCCCTTGGCCTCCTGGAGGGGTCAAGGAAGGGGGAGCTGCCAGGCCAGCTCTTTCCCGGAGGGGGCATCTTAGCAGTGTAAGGGAACGAGGGGGGTGGCCCAGGGGCAGGGGACTAGGACTTTGCTGCCCATGGGGCTGCTTTGAGGAAAGGAAGTGACTGGAAAGAGTTACTCCATGGGGAGCCTGCATGAAAGGACATATCGGAATCCCACATGCAGCCGAGCAAGTGGGACTTTGCTTTCACAGAGAAGAAATCATTAATTCCTCCCACAAACATGTATTGAGCAATTACTATGTGTAAAGCATTGTCTTAAGTGCTTTGCCTGTGTTAATTAATTGTCTCAATAGCCCAATGAGCTAGGCATTATTAGGCCCTTGAGGAAGCTGAGACTCAGTGAGGTTTAGGAATTTGCTTGTTTAGCCACACAGCTAATAAGTGGCAGAGCTGAGAAAGCTTTTGCTGTTAACTGCTTCACTGTGTCCCTCCCTTCCCTGGATGCTACCGGGCAGTGAGCTGTTTTAATCAAAGGTCTCCTTAGAACTGACAATAACCTAAAGTGACTTTTAACAGATTTCACGGGACTCCCATGTGTCACACAAGGGTCCGCTTTACTGAACCAACACAAACCTTAAATGACCCTGAGAAGGAGCCCTACTTTGATGAACTAATAAAGTTTTCTTATCCCTGGCACAGCCTCAAGGCCTGGGTCCTGCTTAAAGACATTTGTTCCTTCTAAAGCAGGTTCCTCTACGCAGCCAGATCACACTTTCCCTTTGTTTTCCCACTGCCATACCGGCTTATGTTGAGCACCTGCTATCTGCAGTGCCCTGAAACTTACGGGAGCTGTGGGGTTCTTAGAGCTGGCTGGAGGTTCATCTCTCCCCTAGAAGAGTTCCTTTGGCAGAAATAAAAGTAATGATGATAATACGACATTAGATAAGTGGCCTTTGTTGAGCACCTGCTGTGTGCCTGGTAGCCCTGTGTTGGTCCATGTTGGAAGGCCAGTGCGGGCAGGCCCTGGGAGGGAAGGGGAGCAATCAGAGCAGGAGGCTGTGGCAGGGAGGTGGCAAATGGATGCAGAGGGGAGGGGGGTTGTCTTTTATTTTTTAAATCCAAATAAGGTATGCTAGTTATTTGGACGGGACACTTCAGACTTGACATATGGATACCTGCATCCCCGCCCCCCACCTTTAGCTACCTGGGTCACAGCCTCTGGTGACAGGTGTCTCTTTCCCTGGCCAGCCGGTAGCACAGATGTGTAATGGCTCTGGGTGGGGGAGGGGTATGAGGGGAGAGAGAAATCAGAGTAGATAGGAAAGGAGACAGAGGCTGGAGGAGGCTGGGCAGAAGTGTGTGTATGTGTGTGTGCACGCGTGTGTGTGAATATGCTAAGTGCATCTCACCTGCCTGTTCTCAGCCACAGCCACATATATGTGAGCTGTGCCTGCGTCTTCCTATGTAACTTGTCTGGTGCTGTGTTCTGTCTACAGTCGCCTGCCCAACTTGTGCTTTTTTTTTTTTTTGAGATGGAGTCTCACTCTGTCACCTGGGCCGGAGTGCAGTGGCGAGATCTCAGCTCACTGCAACCTCCGACTTCCAGGTTCAGGCAATTCTTTTGCCTCAGCCTCCCGAGTAGCTGGGATTACAGGCGCCCGCCACCACACCCAGCTAATTTCTTTTTGTATTTTTAGTCGAGACGGTGTTTCGCCACGTTGGCCAGGCTGATCTCGAACTCCTGACCTCGTGATTCACCTGCCTTGGCCTCCCAAAGTGCTGGGATTACAGTCATGAGCCACTGCGCCCGGCCCAACTCATGCTTTGTTTTTTTTTTTTTTTTGGCAACCGTGTGCATTGGTACTGTCTGTCCACGCAGTTCATCTATATGTTGTTGTGTGCGTGTGTTGCTTGGGTGTTTGTCTCCTTTGTAATAGTCATGGGTGACGAGTGTGTCATCAAGAGTACTTGTCCCTCCTATGTGTGTATCTGTGCGCTTGTGTCTTTCTTTGTGTGTCTGCTGCTGTATTTGTGTCTCTTCTTAATGAGTGGCTGCAGGTATGTGTGCCCTCGGGGTGTTTCTTCTGGTGCCATGGTATGAGTACTATCTGGTTCTCCTGTTTCTTCCTTGTGTAGCTTTCCATGTAGTTTCTGGATTTTTTCTTTGCAACGATAGTAAGCGTACTCTGCATTCCTGTGCTTTGTGTTGGTGTGCTGGTATATGCTTTCCCTGTATGTTTCTTTTCTGACTTGATTCGTGACTAGCTGTGTGTGTACACGGCTGTGTGCAGCCATTTGCTGAAATGCTGTTGTGTGTGTGTGTGTGTGTGTGAGACAGAGAGAGAGAGAGAAAGAGACTACAGCTTTTCTGTTTGTACAAAATTCGTGTCAGCCTATGAGTGCTTCTGTCTGTGACTGGAGCTGTATGTGGTTACATGTGGTCATAAGTGCACATTCAAGTTCACATACACAGAGAGATGATTTTAGGGCTTGGACCTGGAAGTTTGTCTCCAGGGTCATCTGAACCTGGATTCAGGTTCAGATCCAGGGCCATCTGAAACTGGATCGTGTGTGTGGGAAAGACCCAGGACCCATGAACGATGTCATCAGCTGTGTGTAATCGTCTGTGTGCTCTGTGTGCGGCTGTGAATCTGTGTATGTGATTTGCCTGTTGATTGTCTTTGGCATGGCTGTGGGTCCAGTGGCAATGATGTTCAGGAGTCTAGAGTGTCTGGAAATTGGCATAAGCCAATTTGTGTTAGTCTGTGCTTTCTGTGAGCGGCTCTGAGCCTGTGGGTATTGATAGTTGTAAGACTGTCTTCACTCTGTGTGGCCACGTGTGTGACTGTCCCATGAGCCTGTGCTCTGAATGTGAAGTGGTGAGTCTGTATGTGTTCATGTCTGTCAGTCTTTATTCTCTTGTGTGGCTGTGAGTCTTTGTGCACTTCTGTGAGTGATGGTGAGTTGGCCCCTGTATCTGAGCCCCTTGATGGGGCTGTGATGGGGCCTGTTGTGTAGCTGCGATCCCTGAGTGCGCAGGAGTCTCTCTCCTGCTGTGGGGAAGTAAACGCCCCATCCCTTGTCCTCCTCCAACTGCGGGTGGGGTGAGGGCATCTAGGCCAGCTTTGAAGCCCCAGCCAGCTCCTGGCCTTTCCGGGAATTCTGTGTTCCCTGTCGGGGGTGGGCAGGTGGGCAAGGGGCCCAGACAGAGGCCTCTTGTCCACCTGGGCTTCAAGCAGCCCAGTCGAGGTGGGCCCAGACCCCAAGTCCACCCTGCCTGACATCCTGTAGCAGACATGTGCCTTGCCTGGGACAGGCATGCCTGTCATATGCCTGGAGGGGAATGAACAGACGGACTCCCATAGAAGACAGACGGACAGACAGATAGTGGGACTTCTCAGGGCTTGGACAAGCCCCACCCCACGCTTGGGGTGGGGTCCAGGACTACAGTGCCCGCCCAGTTTGCAGACAGTGTGAGTTCACAGTCCACATTCCCCACCCAGCCACAAATGCCCTCCCTGCCTCCCTCTGGGGGCCTCCAAGATCTAGGGTCCTCTCGTGACTAGGCTGTCTGCCTGAGGTCTGCCTGGAATAGCCTGGCTACTATCCCTGCACCTGTTCTGCTGCTGTCTCCAGGCCTCTCTGCCCGAATCTGCCTCTCTCTGCCTCTTTTCTTCTCTGCCTCAACCACTCCCTCTGTCCCTTCATCTCTCTGAGCTGGTGTGTCTGGTCCTACCCTCTGTTTGGGGAGCTGTCTGGCTCTGTCCTCCACCTCTTTGCCAGTCTGTCTCCTGTCTATGACTGAGCCCGACTGCCTGTTGCCTTTCTGCAGGTGTTTCCACGAGCCTATCCCTACCCACCTGTCTGTTTCTGAGTGTGCCTGTGCGTCCCTTTCTCTCTGTCTCTGCCTGTCTACCAACATCCCCTAGCATCCCCTCCTCCCACCCATCTGTCTTTCTGTTCCTTCTGTGGTCTGTCTGTTCCTGTGCTGTTTCTCATGGCTGCTTTCTTTGTAACTTCGTTTCTCCTACTCTCTGTCTCCTCTCTGCACCTTTTTCTGCCATCCATCCCATCTTGCTGTCCGTCTGCTCTGTGAGTCCCTCTGTCTGCCTGTCACTCTCTCTAGCTGTGGGTCTACACCCGCAATCTTTCAGGCCATTCCCCGCCCACCAACACACAAACAAACCTCTGTCTCCCTCCAAGTGGGTCCAGATAGGGGGCGCCCCTTCTCCACCTCTTCCCCCGCCCAGGGCCAGAAGGAGGGAAACGAAATTAAAATTAACATTTCTTCTCAGAAAAAAAAAAAAAGTACCGCCCAGAGCAGGAGTCTGAGTTGCGGCCACTTCAGGAGCTGAGAGGAGCAGGTATGTGAGGAGGAAGTGTGGGCTGCGGGGATGGTGTTCCTGGGGGCCTGAGATATGAGTAGGGGTCCTGGGAAGGGGCTTGGGGTTCCTTGGAGACATTTTAGCACTAGTGGAGAATGGAATGGCGTGACTGTGGGGGGGTCCTTTTGGTACCTTGATCCCAGGAAGTGAATTCAGGTGTGGGTGGGAGGCTCCGGAGGGCGCTGGTGGCGGGGGATGGGACTCCTTGAGACCCCTCCGTGTCCCAGGAACAGGATTCAGGACTTGGGAAAAGGATTTCCTGAGCCAGTTTGAGCTCTAATGGGGACCTTGAATGGGGATTTCTGAGATACCTCCTTCCCAAGGAGTAAGCGCGGGAGGGGGCTGGGGTTTCTTCAGAGACGCTCTACCCACAAGACAGGGACTCCAGGCTCAGGTGGGAATTGCAGAGACACCCCCACCCCAGGAAACTCATTAGGCCACAGGAGGGGGTCTTTAATGGTCTCAGAGACTGCTTTTCCTCCGGAGGGGAAATGAGGGCTCGGGCCAGGTTCCTGAGACACCCCACACCCCACACCCAGGAAGTTTCTCAAGTCTGGAAGTGTCTCCAAATTGACTTCTGTCAGAAGACGAGTGTTTAAGACTTGCTAGGGGTTCTGGAAAATACCTCTAGGCCCTAGAATCAGGGTTAAATGGGAGTCCCTGGGTCATTTCTGTCCCTGGGAAGGGGCTCGGTTCGGGGACTTGTCTTTGGCTTCTAGTGAAGATATTCAGAGTCTGCAGCGTCTGGGGCAGGGGTCTCCGAGTCTGTCCCCCACCCTCAGCTCACTCAACAGGTTGCATCAGCTCTGGGCTCGGGCTTGGGGGCCCAGGCGGGAAGGAGGGGGGTGAGGGCATTAGGAGGGGTGGGGCAGCCAGGCCGACACGTGTCCCTGCAAGGAGTGAGCCGCCTGGCCACGCAGTGAGGGTGGAGGGAGGGGGGGGGCGCGGGGGACCGGGGAATGAAAGACACAGATGGCAAGAGAGACAGCGTGAGTCTGGGGTCTGGGAGGAGAGACTATCCCTTCTCCACGTGGTCGGCTCATCTGCGCTGGGGTCCGGCTGTCTCTGTTGCTTTCTCTCTCTCTCTCCCCAACTATTTCTCTCTCACTGGCTCTCTCTCTGTGTCTCTCTGAGTAACTAACTGTTGGCTTCTCTCCTCTGATTCTTTTTCTTCTCTCTCTCTCATCTCTTTCTCTGTCAGCCTGCCTCCATTTCTGTCCGTGTCTGTTCCTGCTCCCCTGTCTCATCTCTTTCTCCGTCTGTCTTTCTGTCGGTCTCTATGGGACTCCCCTCCCCCTTCTTCAGCTCCCCTCACTTTGAAGCACCCTTGTTCTGTCTCTGATCCCCCCACCCCATTTCTCTGCCCACAGGATGGAACTGCAGGATGCAAAGATGAATGGAGCCCTCCCTTCGGATGCTGTGGAGTGAGTCAGGGGTCCAAGGAGGTGGGCTCGGGGATTAGGGGTCAGGGTTACCCTCTTATTGGCCCCTATTTCCCTGCCCTATCCAGCTACAGGCAGGAACGTGAGGGCTTCCTGCCCAGTCGTGGTCCTGCTCCTGGGAGCAAGCCGGTCCAGTTCATGGATGTGAGTGGCCCCACAGGATCTGTCCCGGTGGCACATTCCCCAGCTAATCTCCTCCCGCACTGCTCCCTCTTCCCCACTCCTCCTCCTCCCTGCTGTTCCCCTGCCCAGCTATCTCCCCACCACAGCTACGCACTCCTCGGTCGCTCCCCTCTCCAGATACTCCTCTTCCCCAGATATGCCCTTTCCAGCTCTCTCCCTGGCCTTGCTTCTCCCCACCCACTCTTCGGCCCAGTGGCTGCCCTCCCTATCTGCTCCCCTCCCGAACTGCCTTTCTCCTCCAGCTGTTCTTCCTCCTCCAGCACTCCCCATCCTCAGCCGATCCCCACCCGCAGTGTCTCCCCTCCCCAGCTGTTTTACCTCTGGTGGCTGCTTCACCCTCCCTTGGTCCTCTCCACTTCCAGCTGCTCCCTCCAAAATTTGTCCTTCTAGTTTCCCCCTTCCTAGCTCTCCCCTTCGCAGCTTCTTCCGTCTTCAACTCTTCTTCCCTGCTAGCCTCTTCCCTCCTCCGATGGTCTCTCCTTGGCTTCTCTCCACCCCGCTTGCTTCTTCTCCAGTCTTTCCCTGGCCCTGGCATTAGTCTCCTTAACCGGTGCCCCCTCCCAATGTGTGCCCGGGCTTTGCTCCTTGCATGCAGTTCGAGGGGAAGACATCATTTGGAATGTCAGTGTTCAACCTCAGCAATGCCATCATGGGCAGCGGCATCCTGGGGCTGGCCTATGCCATGGCCCACACAGGAGTCATCTTCTTCCTGTGAGTCCATAGGTGGCCTTTGGGGCCAGGGGTGTTGCAGGGCAGGTGGGAGGCCCGGGACCAGGTCTGAGCTGTGCCACCTGCCGCAGGGCCCTGTTGCTGTGCATTGCGCTTCTGTCGTCCTACTCCATCCACCTCCTGCTGACCTGTGCTGGTATTGTAGGTGAGACCCCGAGCCTGGATCCCAGTCCCCACTCCACCCCTTTGGACCCCAGACTCTGGACCCACATTCAGAGCTCAACGTAGACCTTGAACCCCAAACCTCAGACCCAACTCCCTGAATGCAGACCACAGATCCTGGACCCAGCACCCCAGAATCCACCTCCAGACCACTACACTCTACCTCTAACCCCCACCCCTGAGTCCCCAGTTCCCCAGCTCCCACCATGGTCTCAGTCTATAGTCTGGCTCCAAGACCCCTACTCTCACCTCCAGCCCTCATCCTTTTCCCTGGCCTCAGATCCCACCTCCCAGACTCTGCCCCCAAACTCAACCCCAACTGCTTAACCCCCACCTTCAGCCTCCATCAGTCAAAGCCTGTTCCCCCAAGCTCCAACTTCCTAGCTCCCGGGCCCTCTGACCTGAACCCCTGGCCTGGCCTCTTGGACCTTCAACCCTGTTCCTGCCTTCCCCCACTAGGCATCCGAGCCTATGAGCAGCTGGGACAGAGGGCATTCGGGCCTGCGGGGAAGGTAGTGGTGGCCGCAGTCATCTGTCTGCACAATGTTGGGGGTGAGGACTCTGGGAGGTGGGGGTCAGCTTGGGGGGAGAGGGCGGAGTGAGGTGGGCTTCCCCAGGCTGGGCTGGGGAAGACAGGGTGGGGGCATGAAGAGAATCTTTCTGCTTACACCTCCCCCACCCGCACCAGCCATGTCCAGTTACCTGTTCATCATCAAATCTGAGCTCCCCCTGGTTATCGGCACCTTCCTGTACATGGACCCCGAGGGGTGAGTGAGCAACACCCCTTGGCTGGCCAGCAGCTCCTTGACTCTGCCTGCGAGGCCCGGTCGGTATCTTCAGCGCTGTTTGTGCAGCTGACTTCCAGGTGTTCCAGTTTGAGACTGCTGGGCAGGTCACTTGGGTCAGCCTGATTCCTCTGCGTGACTGTTGCTTTGACCACAGGAGTCCAGTCGACCGTGTGCTGATTTTGTGACTTATTCTGGCTGCTTCTGGCTGGAGGCTGACTCTTTACGTCCGGTTTATTCTGCTGCTGACCATGTGTGTGTGAATGTACATAGCCAATGGACTCAGACTCTGTCTGTGGGTTTGACTCTGTCTGCCGGCCTGGCTGATTCTCTCGGGCTGGCTTTGTGATTGACTACAGCTGTGTCCCGTATACTGTGATTCCAACCATATGTGTCTGACCTTCGATCACTCTGACTTCCCCTGTCCAGCTGATTGTTTGAGCTTGATTCTAGGTTCATCTGGCTGAATCTGTCTAGCTGTAAGCGTATGATCGCTGACTCCAGCAGTGTGTCTGTGTGCATGTAGTACGCTGTGGTACCAACTATGTATGACTCACTCTGACTGTATGTGTCGAGCCAACTCCATCTCTGTGTTTGATTTGGTGGCTATTCTGGTAAATTCTCTCTGGGGTGTGTGTGTGTGTGTGTGTGATCCCTGACTGTGACTATGTGTCCTCTGTATTATGGTTGCAACCATATATGCTGGACTGTTCTGATTATGCATCTGGCTGACTGTGTGTGAGTCTGGATCCGCTGTGCTGGCTCGGTATGTGTGGGGGGCATGTGCACGATGGGACTCCAGCAGGGCTAGTGTGTATGTACAGGGTGTTGCAGTGCTTGTGCTCCAGCTGCACATGTGGAGCTGCCTCTGTGTGTTTCATGAACAGCTCTGTGTGTCCAGTGGCTAACTCTGCCTCTGGTCCCATGGGCTTTGCATGGTGTGTAGATGTCTCTGGTTTTGTCAGTCTGACTCTGGTCTGTATGACATTTTTTTTTTTTTTTTTTTTTTTTGGATGGAGTCTCACTCTGTCGCCCAGGCTGGAGTGCAGTGGCATGATCTCGGCTCACCATAACCTCTGCCTCCCAGGTTCAAGCGATTCTCCTTCCTCAGCCTCCTGAGTAAGTGGGATTACAGGCATGCACCACCATGCTTGGCTAATTTTTTAATTTTATTTTTTTGGGACAAAGTCTTACTCTGTTGCCCAGGCTGGAGTGCAGTGGTGCCATCTCGGCTCACTGCAACCTCCGTCTCCCAGGTTCAAGTGATCCTTCTGCCTCATCCCCCATGCCCGGCTAATTTTTGTATTTTTAGTAGAGATGGGGTTTCACCATGTTGGCCAGGCTGGTCTTGAACTCCTGACCTCAGGTGATCCGCTCGCCTTGGCCTCCCAAAGTGCTAGGATTACTGGCGTGAGCCACCACACATGGCCAGTCTGACAATTTTAACCGAGTGCTTGATTTTTACTCTCTGTGTGTATCATTTTAGATTTTTGGTTTGATTCTGAGAATACTAGATAGCTGACTGTGTGACCAGAGATGTCTTATTATTATAGTTAGCTCCCATTGGTTTATTTCTGTGTAACTGTGTATGAGAAAGAAAGAGACCGTGTGAATGTCTAGAACACAGGCATTCAATCAAGTTGTTTTGAATGCATGAGCAGTTGCTCAGCTGATTCTGTCTTAAATGACTGTCTTGCCTGGTCACCTTCCTCCAATATCTGTACAGATCCCACCTTTTCTCAGAGCTTGGTTCCAACAGTGTGGCCAGCTGGATGATTTCGTTTCTATTTCAGTCTTTCTTTGACTGTGTGGCCAAGTCAGTCCACAGACATACTTTTAGGCATCCAACAAACCTTGAGCTGTTCAAACAAGCATGCATGTGTGTTTCTGACTTTTTGATGGACTCTGCATCGTGGCTTGTCTACTGGATCATCAGACTGTTGCTCTACCTGTCAGACATACCACGATCGTGACTCACTCTCTTTGTGTCTGGCACCTTGTGTTGGACTGATTTTCTCTTTCTTTCTTTCCTTTCTTCCTTCCCTCCCTCCCTCCTTTCCTCCCTCTTTCTCTCTCTCTCTTTCTTTCTTTCTTTCTTTCTTTCTTTCTTTCTTTCTTTCTTTCT